GAGGCTGGCGCAGGCCCGCGCCTCCAGGTTGAGGGCGAAAAGCACCCCACTGCCAGCCGATTTGTTCTTAGCACAGGGGTGGGATAAAAGGACGAATGTGGAAACCAGCAGAAGGTAACCCAAACAGTACAGCAGTTTTGTAAAAAGTGCCCAAGATGAGTTTGGGTGGCCACTCAGACCACCTGCTTAGCCCCCTTTGGTTTTCTACCTCGAGCTTCTGCACCCTTTGTGATTGAGTTCCAGGATTCACGGCCGGTCTCAACCGATCGGCTTCCCGTCGAAAAGAACAGACGCGATTTACAACTGTTTGGGGGCTTACGGTAGATTTTAGTAACGGGCATCCTTGGAGTGTCCCCATCTCCTAGGGGATTCTGTGATGGGAGGGACTGAAATTGGTTTTTAATTCTTCTAACCATGTCTCTAAACACATAACTATATGTCGTTCACATTCGGGAAGTATTTGTTCATTTTAAGTCCGGTTTGTGCAGTCCTTTGGTGCGATTTGTTTTCTTCAAAAACAGAAGGGTGTATGTTTTCAGAGACATTTAAATAAGTGGGTTCGGAATTAGCATTTTAAAGCCAACTGTAATTTAAACTGTGCAAGAAGCGCTCATTTACAAAAACGGTCTTAACGAATTATGGTACAGGACTTGCTTTCTACTTCTGTAAGTTTTGAAATGTGGTTCCTGCCCGGGAAAAAAAACAAAAACAAAAAACAAACAAACAAGCAAAACAAGTAAGATACTGTGGCAACCCCACATGTCACACAGTCATTAGTTATTGGCTCCGAACAACAATAAGAAAACTGTTTCTTTTACAATTAAAATCATTCCTAAATATGTTCTTACTAGGTAGTGACAAGTCTGAGATTCGCATTTAAGGGAGAGGGGTGGGGGGAAGTTTTTTGTTTGCCCATTGCAGACTGACAGTTGAGAATATTTAATAGTTTGGAAATCCACCCCCCTCTACTCCACTCTTATTTTCATGATATAAAGTTAGTTATGTACTTTACAGAACGTTATCATCATCTGTTATCTCATTTCTTAAAAAATGATATCCAGAGATACTTAACTAGTAAATTTAATACCTAAAATGCAAACCACAGTTCCAAGTAACTACTTTCTTCATCTTTTCTGGACTCAGAAAAGAGTTATTCTGACCTCTGAATTCAGCACACTGTTTCTTTTAATCTCTTGGCAAATGCTATAGAATGGAATAGTGTTTGTTTAATTGTATTTTGATTTAAGGATCTAAATTTGATCTAAATTTTTCTTAGAGAAGAACAACGTGTGTGTGTTTTCTCCTTTCCCAATAGTACAAAACAAAGTTGTTTTATTTCTTTTGGGATGTTAATAAAGATGACAACTATAACCCAGGAAATTTTAAATTTTTTTTTTCAATGTTTATTTATTTTTTTGGGACAGAGAGAGACAGAGCATGAACGGGGGAGGGGCAGAGAGAGAGGGAGACACAGAATCGGAAACAGGCTCCAGGCTCTGAGCCATCAGCCCAGAGCCCGACGCGGGGCTCGAACTCACAGACCGCGAGATCGTGACCTGGCTGAAGTCGGACGCTTAACCGACTGCGCCACCCAGGCGCCCCGACCCAGGAAATTTTAAAGCAATTTTT